GAACCTGGGCCGCCAGTAGCGGAGCGCGTGCACTTAACCACTAAGCCACGGGGCCAGCCCCCAGCATGCTGCACTCTTGATTCTTCTCCTCTGGTGGCTCCTTCTAAGTCTCTTTTGCTGTTTCTTGTTTGACCTCTACCATTTAATACTGGCATTCCAGAGGGCTCAATGTGTTTTGTTTGGTTGTTTTTTTACTTTCTTCTTCTTTTTTTTTTCCCAACTATCGTACAGAGTGTACTTTATTATTTAAAAAAATTCTTTTTATTGATGTCTTAATAGTTTATAGCATTGAGAAGTTTTGGTTATACATTACTGTTTGTCAGTCACCATATAAATTCCTCCCTTCACCTCTTGTGCCCACCCCCCAACCCTCCTGCCCCTGGTAACCACCATACAGTTCTATCTGTCCGTGTGTTGGTTTATATTCCACATATGAGTGAAATCATGTGGTGTTTGTCTTTCTCTTTCTGGCTTTTCACTTAACATAATACCCTCCAGGTCCATCCATGTTGTTGCAAATGGGACGATTTTATCTTTTTTTATGGCTGAGTAGTATTCCATTGTATATATATACCACATCTTCTTGATCCAGTCATCAGTTGAGGGACACTTGGGTTGCCTCCACTTCTTGGCTATAGTGAATAATGCTGCAGTGAACATAGGGGTGCATAAGCTTCTTTGGATTGTTGATTTCAGGTTCGTTGGATAGATTCCCAGTAGTGGGATAGCTGACTCATAATATATTGCTATTTTTAGTTTTTTGAGGAATCTCTATACCATTTTCCAGAGAGGCTGCATCAGTTTGCATTCCTACCAGCAGTGAATGAGGGTTCCCATTTCTCCACAACCTCTCCAACATTTGTTGTTTTTTGTCTTGGTGATTATAGCCATTCTAATGGGTGTAAGGTGATATCTTAGTATAGTTTTGATTTGTATTTCCCTGATGATTAGTGATGTTGAACATCTTTTCATATGCCTGTTGGCCATCTGTATATCTTCTTTGGAGAAGTGTCTGTTTATTTCCTCCGCCCATTTTTTGATCGAGTTGTTTTTTTCTTGTTCAGTTGTGTGAGTTCTTTATATATTATGGAGATTAACCCCTTGTCAGATAGATGATTTGCAAATATTTTCTCCCAGCTGGTGGGTTATCTAATCATTTTGATCCTGGTTTCATTTGCCTTGTAGAAGCTCTTGAATCTGATGAAGTCCCACTTGTTTATTTTTTCTTTAGTTTCCCTTGTCCAAGTAGACATGGTATGTAAGAAGATTCCTTTATGACCAATGTCAAATAGTCTATTGCCTATATTTTCTTCTAGGAGTTTTACAGTTTCAGGTCTTACCTTCAGGTCTTTGATCCATTTTGAGGTAATTTTTGTGAATGGCGAAAGCAGATGGTCTACTTTCATTCTTTTGCATGTGGCTGTCCAGTTTTCCCAGCACCATTTATTGAAGAGACTTTCCTTTGTCCATTGTATGTTCTTA